AGCAGCCAGACCAACCCTAATTCGGGAGGCACATACTTGTTGATGCATGTGCCTGTCCAGCAGCAGAAAACACGTATCCTAACTAATAAAGAGGCTTGGCCAATAACACTGCAGGCCAATTCCAAAACTCCAGATCCATCTCTATTGTTCAGCTCCAACAAGCCCAGAAATATTTAGTAAGCAGCTACCATGTGGCTAAAGTCTCCTAAGAGTATCTTTACAGCCTCCTGGAAGATGTGCCTCATGTCATTTTTGAAAAAACAGTATGTTGGTATAAAATGCAAAAAAGGCATATTTAGCAAAGGCGAGACCAATAGAAATAAGAAACATTTAAATAAGATCAGGAGGGAGGCACAGAAAAGTTCAGATTGGCCTGCAAATAATCTAAGCTGAAGGGAAACCACAAAGCATAGTGCAAGTAAGTGGGTGAGGGAGGGGGTCAAAGGCCCCGGGGTGCAGGTCACTAGCATCCCTCTCCGCCAGGAAAGAAGATGCTATAAGGAAACCACCAGGAGTGAGCCCACTGACTCACTGGGAGCTCCCAGGCCTGGGGTGGGGTGGGGTGGGGTGGGGGAGAGTGATTGGAGCACGGATAAGGATGAGATCTGGCCCAGCAGAAGAGCGAGAGGAGGGCTCCTCTGGACTAAACAGATGCTCCCAAAGGTCCCTTCAGCACTGACATTCTGCTCTGCTTTGAAGGAGCTGAGGTGGGAAGGAAAAGGGAGCTGAGGGAGGGGACAAATGCTTAGCATTTAGGACGGGACCTGAATGGGAATACAATGTCTAGACCCCCTGCCATTGTCAGAGAGAAAGGAAACGAATGTGGGTTAATTCCAATGACAGGATGACAGCAATGACATTATGAGGAGAGAATCAGAAAAGTGCAAAGCGTATTTATAAAAAAAGAAATGGAAATGTCTCCACCATGAAATTCTCCCTGGAGAGATCCCCAAGGCAGGGTCCTGTCCCTCGCCTGAGATGAGACCTCCCAGATGCAGGAACTCTCCCCGCTGACAGCCCCTTCTTCTTAAAGGGATCCCTCAGAGGCCGGGGAAGGCTCAGCCCACCGTGAGCCCATCTCCAGGCCTCAGTCACTGGTGGGTAGGTGACAGGGCCTGTCTCTGTCCTTCCCACAGCCCCACCACCATCAGACCGCAGACTCCCCAAGAGTGCCACCCAGGGTGGTGGTCTCCAAATCCTTAGCACACACGAGGGGTCTGTCGGGGAGACACCTACAGAGGTAATATGGCAATTCCCTAGCCTTGTCAGAGTTCAGCTCACCTTCCCTTTCCCTTCTTTCTGGAAAAAGAACATATGGCGGAAGCTGGACCAGCCATCCTGGCTCCTGATGTGTGCTGAAGGGAAAAGAGAAGCCTGCATCTTTGATGATGGCAGAGCAGCCAGACCAACCCTAATTCGGGAGGCACATACCTGTTGATGCATGTGCCTGTCGAAAGGGGGACATCCTCTCCCCTGTGTCACACAGAGGGCCAGAGTGGCATGTGCTTCACTCAGCGTCACTAACACAGAAGGGTGCTAAAAGACATGAAGAGTCCACTTGGGGTGAGGCCTGGTAGGAGACCCCTGGAGACCCACAAGAGGGCAGGGAGATCAGGCAGGGGCTGGTTTGCCTCTAGCCCAGGACAAGACCCTAGAATGGAAGTCAGAGAGAGAACCAGGCAGCTGGAGACCCTATAGATTGCCTACACCACAGCGAAACACAAATACTCATTTTAGCCATCAGTTTCCACTTCTTCCTATTGCAATTTTCTTTTATCAGAACTGAGAGAGGTAGGCAAGATTGAAAATACTTAGTTTTCCTGCTTCCTGGCATCCTCTGGGGAATTAGCCAAGTTATAATGAGATATTCAGTGCCAGAGAGCAGAGAGGAGAAGCAACACAAGGCTTCTGGATAATCTACATTATGGCTAATACACTGCAACAGAACAGGCAAGGAATAATACTCCCAAGGCATGTAAAATTCAATGCAAAGTGGGGGGGGGGGATCACCACGTAACCAGTATTTCAAAAGGCCTGTGTCTCTCTATACCCCTTAAGACATGGGGGCCTGGCCGCCAGAGTTACTGGGGACAGAGAAGCACAGACACGTCGGCATAAATGCAGGTGTGGTCAATGCTCCCTGTCGCCAGGGGTGCCAATTCTGGGGTCAGTCCAATCCCGTGAGCCACGCAGCCAGGAGGTAGGTGTGCACACGTCCACGCACAGGCAAAGCAAGATAAGAGAGGACCCCACCAATCTAACAAGACACCAGCATTGGTCCCCAATAAAGGCTGTCTGGAATGTGAGTTTACAAGGGTGATCGCCACCACATTACACAGAGTGCAATAACCTGGCTGTTGGTACGAGAGTTTGTCAGACATGTCACACGGAAAGGGGAACAGCTGTCACCGTGACAGGCTGCTGGAAAATGGCTGGTTTCCACAACACCTGGTCCCCCTGAGTCTGTACCAAAATCTTGTTCTTAAATGAAAACAACAACAACAACAACAACAATAAACAAGCCCACAAAAGGTTTCCAGTGCAGAACTGCTAGCTTGCTCAAGTTCACGGAGAGAATTTTCAAAGTGCTGGTCTGTCAGCTGGAGAAGCTGGTGGACTCTGTTCTCAGACCTCACCTGTGCAGGTGCGTCCATAGGAGGAACCCTGCTACTAATTCAGGGAGGCCGGGGTCCAAACCCTGCCTCTCCTGCTCACCAGCCCCACGTTCCTGGGAAAGTGAGTTAACTTCTCTGAGCTTCCATTCCTTATCAGATGGAGAGGATAATCTCTCAGGCACAGAATTTCCTCGAGTAGGAGAGCGTGTGTGTAGAGCACTTAGCATAGTGACTAACCAATGACTGTTCGGGAAATGGTGTTCCCGTTAAGTAGACTTGCGGACCTGAACATCAGACTCGGCTGCAGGCTGTGTATTACACTTTATTTCACGAAATGGAAACATCATCCAGCTCGGAGAAGGTGGGAGAGAAAAGAGGTGTAATCACTGTTAGAGGTTTTCCTTGGAGACCATACCCGGGAAATGATGCTCTCCGTAGAAGAATGGTTTGGGGAAAACAGACTGCTTATCCTTATTATATGCCACCAGAACTATTTTCTTTCTTCTTTTCTTCCAGGTAAACGTTTGCAAGGATGTCTCCTCAGACTTGAAAGCCCTTGGAGAGTCCGTGAAATGGGGCCCATTTTCTGACTGACCACTCTTCACAGCTTTTCTGTAACGGATATAATGAGGCATTTTGATTTACAGTGTCTCCTCTCCCCTCTAACAGACAGAAACTGTGCCCGAGCACGCTGTGTCTGGTGGCGCAAACTCACAAAACTGCTGCAGGCGCTGCCTAGAAAACGGGGCTTCCAAGGCGGATCGTTCTAGAAGAGCAAAGGTCTTAAATTCTCTTACACAACATGAGGAAGCACCTCGAGTTCTAATTAAGCTACAGCAATTAGCTACCCACAGACACGTAACGCTGCCTCCCATGGTCAGGCAATCATCTCTATTAAAACCCATTTAAAAGTAAGAAGCAAACCCCAAAGCTCCATGGGCAAACACTTCCCATGAATCCATTACCCCTCAGACACATTCAGTCAACGCTCAGAGGTGAGCTCTGTGCCTTGGCGTGAGGAGTTTTATGAAAGGACTGCCTCAGACGTGATGAGGTGGTTGCAAAATAGGAGGGGGCTGCAATCCACTTGCAGAAGGGGGCGCTGAATCTCAGGTGTGAGCTGGACAAAGCAAGAGAAACTGAAGCCTCAGGTTTCCCTGGTCTTAGAATTCCCTGGTCGGTAGAAACAAGAACCATGTCAACTCCACCCTGAGGACTACATCCAGCCACGGGGTCTCTGCCCGCAGGCACCAGACTCCAGCTTCATCACCGGCGACCAGACTACTACCCACACTGATGCCTCATGGGAGGACTGTCCTCTCCCATGTCACGATCTGTCACTGACGTGCACTTGGTGCTCTTGGCAGGTTCACCATGAGTCCAACCCACTCAAGTCCACGTGCCTTCCCCAGCCTGTTCGGTCCACTCGCCCCTTGGGAGTCCCTTTAGTGGAGGTAGCCCACTGTGTCAGCCGAAGGCTATTTGCAGAATTGGCAACAGCAACAGCTATGCAGTGGTTGGTGGTAAGTTATTGAGATGTAAGTACCTTCCCCAAGAACTAGGCTTGTTTTTGCTTTTCAATCCAATCAAATTAATCCTATAACCCTTTCCCTCTCAATGGAACAAGAGCCTTTTTTTTCGCATTTTCCTTTGTTTGGGGCTTTTTGGGTTTTGTTTGGATTTGGGACATTTCTTAACCATCAAGCAAACATCAACAGTATTGATCTAGATCAGCACTGTCCAATTGAAATTAGATTCAAAATTTTCCTAGGAGCCACATTTGAAAAGCAAAAAGAATGTAGAAATTGTAATAGAATATTTTATTTAACCCACTATTTCAAAAATATTGTTGTTTTGATGTGTAATCACTAGGAAAGATAATGAATGAGATAGTTCACATTCTCTCTTCCTACTTTCTCTTACTGAACACTGCAGACCTAGAGCTATGGTTACGTTGACATGGAAAGACTTCCACAATTCACTCTTCTACGAACAAGCAGTTTACCAAATTATATGTGTGGCATATAGGTCATTTTAACTTTATAAAAACCTATCTCTATGTGTTCGGCTAAGGATAGAAAAGAATCTGTAAGGGAGAGACCAAATGGTAATGATAGCTATCTCTGAGAAGTACGTGGATGGCCTTTCTTTTTCTATTTTGTGCTTTCTTAGTATTTCCTAAATTTCTTTGCAGTAAACATGTACTTTTTTAATTATCAGGAAAACTATAAAGCTAGTCTCTTAAAAATATATATATCTTCCTTCTTTTAAGTTATTATAGCCCTGATCCTACTGGCACTGTAGCCATTACCCATTTTCCAGCTAATAGAAGGGATGACCAAACAGTATTCCCCCTGCCCCAACCCCAGGTACTGTCATACTCACAGCCAATCATCATGATGGCCACTGCAAAGATCTTCTCGATGTCTGTGGATGGGGCGATGTTTCCAAAGCCCACACTGGTGAGGCTGGTCATGGTGAAATACAACGAGGAGATGTAGACAGAATTCTTGCTGGGACCACCTTCCCATTTCCCTGAGCCAGACCCGTTAAACTGGTAAGGGGTGCCAATGTCCATGGCCAGTTGGTAGAGCCAGCTGTTGTTGCGGATGGTCTTGGTATCCTCATCGAAGATCTCATAGTCCCCGATGCTGTACCAAATGCAGGCCATCCAATGAGCAGCCAGCCCGAACACACACACCAGTAGGACCAGCACAGCAGCTCCGTATTCAATGTAGTGGTCCAGTTTCCGGGCCACTCGCCCCAGACGGAGCAGCCGGACAACTTTCAGAGAGCTGAACAGGCTGCTGATGCCCTGGGAGAAGAGGAACACAGAGTCAGGGCCAAGAACCAAAAAGACTACTCCCACACTTCACCTTCCCGCCTCCCCGCCAGCCTGTTCCTTCAGCATTTCCACAAGATGCAACATCATGCAAGCCTTAAAAAATCGTTTTAACATAAGTCATGATATGGTAAACTGCTCATATATATCCATGTACTTATTCACAATGAAATTAGAATTTTATCCCAACGTGTATTATGGGAGATTTCCATTGGCTTTTTCCTACTTCCATTAAAAAGCAAATTAAAAAAACAAGCTAAATAAAAATAGAATTTTAATTTAATTATATTATGCAGATGCACACAAATATATATGAGCATTTTTCCATGTAATGAGTTATTTTAAAACAATTTTAATATTAAATAATATGAAATATTTTAATAATTGCTTAGCTTGTATTTCATATTGTATAATCTTTCATTTTAATTATATTGTGCATAAGTATACAAATATTTATGTGTTGAAAAATGATCAGAAAACACACATGGAAAGATATAAAACATCTGTTTTACATTATCAGTGATTATCACTGTGTTGTCAAGTTAGGGAATTACAGGCAATTTTTTATTATATTTGTACATATTTTTGTTACACTTGTATATATTTACTTAATTTCTATGACTAAAATTTTATTACTTTTATAATTAGAAAAATATAGTTTAAAAACAAAGAAACAGCTGAGAAGAACTGAGATTCTGTTTTCTCAGAAAAATTACAAATTTTTGGAAGGTAATATCACTTCTGTCAGCCAGGGACTTAAGCACAACCCATCCAGGAATCTCAGCTAAAAGGCACCCTCTGATTGCACTTGGTCAAGCGTCCCCCTTTCTAGATGGTGTCTGATGGTGCCACCAGGACAGGCCTAGTCTCTGAACAGTTCTGTAGGGACTAGCACTGTGGTAGTGGAAAAAACACTAGAGTAGAAATCTGGAAAATGGGGTCTGAGACCTACGTAAACCACTAACTTGCTATGTGAATCTGGACAGTTCAATTACCTCTCAGTTCCCTTGTTTAGAAAATGAGGGAGGTGGACTTAACAGCAGTAGCCAACCTTTCAGACCTCACGGACCACCATTGGTCTGCCAACCACCAGTTGGCGACCACTGGACTAGAGGATCTCGAAATCTCCAAACACTAATCTACTCTTATCTCCCAAGGGAACCAAAATATATTACAGAAACTACGCCACTCCAAACCTCAAAACGGATTTCAAGGTAGATTTCCATTAACTTTTCCTACTTCCACTAAAAAGCAAATGAGCAAACAAAACAAGAACTTTGAATCAAGACTTCCGTCTCCCTGACATAGCAAAAGTCCACCTGCAGGGTGAGGCCCTTCCCCAAGCAGAGAGAGTGGCTTCTCACTATTCTAAACACTGGACAGATCCCAGGCCATTGCTCTTCTCTCTTGTTCCCCTAAGGACAAGCCCCAAGCTCAGGTTATGTCACAGACAGAAGGTTAATGTGTCAATGATTTCTGACAAAAATGTGTAACTGATTTTGGAGTCTTACCAGGACTACATCCTCTTTCTGGGCACACAATTAAACTGCATTTCCCAGCCTTTATCCAGCTGGGTGGGTCTCAGGACTAGCTCTCACCAACAGGATGTGAGGTGAGATATGTGTCACCTCCACCTCCAGGCCAAGGCAGCTAAACGTCAGTGTGCTTTCTCTGCATGCTTTCTCTTCCCCCCGGCATGCTTTCCAGAGGACATGTGACCTGGAGGCCAACGACTGAAGAGGGTGAATGTATAGCAAGGAAGGAGCCTGGGTCCCTAAAAGGCAATGTGGAACCCTCTCTCCCAGCCAATTAACTTGAATCATATTGTTATGTAAATGAAAAAAGAAGCCTCTAAAATGAGCTACTGAAACTTTGGGGGATGTTTGTTACAGCATCTATATCATTAGCCTTCCCTGACTGTGAGCACACAAACCATAGGCAGCATAGCCTTGTCGAGAAAGAACATAGGATCAGGTTGCCACACACATTATTTTTGTTGAGGGTGGTGGAGATGAGATTTATTGCCCTTTTAAAAAAAACAAAACAAATAAAAACAGTTTTGTAGCTGTAAAACTTACAACGGAAAAAATCATGTCCTGTCCAACATATACCAGCAAATGGATAATAATGGATTTTTCTAAGCCAAGGGTCAATTCATCCAAACTGCCAACCTTGACAAAATTTACCTTTGGCATGTCCAGTACTCCTCCTCCCTGGGTCCCCTTTTCCCTCCAGGTGCTTTTCTCAAACCTGCTATGCAGAAAAAACTAACAAAATCCCTTCTATTAAGATGCAAGAGATTGATGAGGATAAATGGATAACATCTCTCCACAGAGCATCTGCATTCTAACAGAGGAAAACTAACTTCCAATAATGGAATTAAAGGTACCAACAGCCTGGATGAAGAAGATATTTTGGGAGGCAAAGGAGCCTTTTTGATGACTCAGAAATCAAACACATGTAAGCATCCACCTACTTTCCACCCCCTCATAAGGAGGTTCCTGAAGTCATCTTTGAAAGCAGCTCCACTCTATAGCAGAACTTACTACCCAGGGCAAAACGGCCTTGTCATTTTCCCTCACTCATACTCAATTCAAAGCGACATTTACAGAAAACCTACTATGTACTCCTGTGCTAATGCCACAGGGAAGAGATGATAATGATGTTGCCCTTGTCTTCTTACTCACTATTGTCTCTTTAATGCCTGGCCCATGGAAGATGCTCCATAGAAAGAAAGGAGGGAGGAGGCAGAAGTAGAATAACTGGTGAGAGAGGCATATGATCAGTGAAAAGATATTTCTACTAAGAATCACAGAACTTGAGATCTGAGAGGGGACATAGAAGTCCAACTCCTCTGAGTCCAGCAAGGTCCCCTCAAGCGCCATTATAGAATAGTCTTCCCACCTCTCCTTGCACTCTCCCCTTCACTGCCACCTCGAAGATCCCAATCTGTGACAGTCATTCATGGGCATGAACGACTGGGCTCCCATCACCTTTCTTACCTCCCTTCTGCTCCATCTGTACTTCATCCCTTCTCCCTTCTGCATCCCTTCCCAGTGGCCACAACAACACATGCAACCGCTACCTAAAGGTCACGCTATTCTCTAGCCACACATGCCAGTTGTCTCGAGCATCCCACACAGCAGATGCACATTTGCATCTCTTAGTCTGCTCAAGTGGGTCCCTCAGCCCAGAATGCCCAGCTTCACCATTCCTACCAACTGGTAACTAGTTATCCTTCAGACCTGCTGCCACAATACTGTCCTTCAGGTCTGCCATTACCTCCACCCTAAAGCCCTCCATGACTACCCTGTAATCCCAACCAATCACTCAGTCCTCCAAATGTCCATGGTAATCTGTATCCATTACTACTTGAACACATTGCTTTGCATTATACACTGACTGGCCAGATTATTATGACCACCCCATCAGTACAATGAAGTGAATTAGTTATGCAAATAATAATAATACTAAAACCTTGAGAGTATTTTCTTAGGAAGTTTTCAATATTCAGTATTTTTGGAAGTGTCAATGAAGTACTGATAGGGTGGTCATAATAATCTGGCCACTCAGTATAGTTTCCTGTAGCCATTTCCCCACATACATTAGGACCTACACCTTCCTGAAGACCAAAGCCAGTTGCTATTCGTTTTAGATGCCTCCTATTGGGTGGAACAGTATCCCGCCAAGTTCATGTCTTTTCCAGAACCTCAGAATGTGGCCTAATTTGGAAATAGGGTCGTTGCAGGTATGGTTAGTTAAGATGAGGCTATATAGAGGGTCCGTAATTCAGTGTGACTGGTGTTTCTATAAGAGGAGAAGAAGAAGTGGACAGAGAGAGAGCCCATGTGATTCCCAATGTAGCAACTGGCATGATGTGACTTAAGCCAAGGAATGCCAAGGGTTCCGGGCCACATCAGAAGCCAAGAGGAAGGCATGGAACAGATTCTCTCCTAGAGCCTTCAGAGGCTGCATGGCTTTACTGACACCTTGATTTCAGAACACACAGCCTCCAGATCTATGACAGAATAAATTTCTGTTGTACTAAGCCATCCACTTTAGTCATATGTCATGGCAGGCCTAGGAAACACACAGGGTCTAAAGCCAGAACCTTCTTAGAAAGGATCTCAAACATTTTCTAAACAGAATTAAAGAGTTTAAATTATTAGGGAATTTTTTTATAATCTTAAGGAGCCTTTGGAACAAAATAAAACACGCAGGCCCTCATTGTGTTATTTATCTGTGTGCACACTGATATTCTATTACATGGTCTTGCATAAGTTCTCTCTTATTGCACTAGCAGCTGGAATTCCAGCTGTTTAAAAGCATTTCAAGCTCTTCATTTCTGTGTTGTTGTTTTTTTTAACTGCCTGAAGTTCAGTATATGCAATAAATAAAACAGAATTCTCCAAAGTGTTTTTATTTATTTTAGTATAGGTAGCACCGTGTGGTAGAGAATCACATTTTCCCAGGGACTTCTTGTATCCGAAAGCCTCTATCACATTCCAAATGGTTCCAGGGAGTTTTTTATGACAACATTAAAATTATGAAGAACCAAGAATTTCAAGTTGAGTCAACACAGACCAAGGGTGGTAAGAACCTGTGCCAGGGAGCTCCTCACTGAAGGCCAACAACTATGACTGGAAGGAAGCCTCTGCATCTATTTTGGTAAATAACCTCAGTTGTGATACTGAATCAATTCAAATTGAAAGGACATTTCAATAGTGCTTAAAACCACAATTATCAGAATCATTGTGGGAAAATTACTGAGTGTTACCTATTCATCCAGACTAAACAAATCATTCCATTAACTTGGGCTGTATCTTGCTTTCTCAACTAGCCAGATTCAATGATTTCTGCTCTTTTTTCTTTTCTTTTTTTTTTCTGCTATAGGCATGGAAATGACAACTGTCACAGACTGGTGACAATGTGTTATTCAAAAGAACTGCTGGGTCTTTCAGGTCCTTGAATAG